ACTATCAGAGCGGTAGCGCAAACATGCCTCTTTCACCCATCTGGCCCGCCCTTGTATCCTATTACCTCCTTCTCTGCCTCTCAGATCTCACACATGCGCGCCTGCGCCGCTTCACTGCAGTCCTCAGGAGCGAGATCTGAGAGGCAGAGAAGGAGGTACGGTAATAGGATACAAGGGCAGGCCAGACGGGTGAAAGAGGCGTGTTTTTCTGGGCACAGCGCCGCTCTCTCTCTTTTTTCCATACCCTGGGCGTCCCAGACGCCTGCAGCTTGCTCCGCCCTTGCTGCTTTCATGCGGCCGCGGCCGTTTTTGAGCTCCCCCCACCATATGCGGTGACCGCAGATTCTCCAGTCCGGCTCGGAAGTTTCAGCACCCGCCCTATAAGACAACACCCGGCGTATAAGACGACCCCCGACTTTTGAGAAGATTTTCCTGGGTTACAAGGTCGTCTTATACGCCGGAAAATACGGTAACTGGTAATTTGGGAGAGGAACTTCCCAAGAAAGATTGTTAGTTTTCTTGAAGTTGAATAACACTTCTACACATTTTCAAGCTCAAAACATTTATCGCCCAAACAAACTCACGGAAGTGTGACCTGAAATGAGGGTTCTGTTTTTCCTGTGAGATCTTAGACCACCAAAAGAAAAGAAACCCAGTAGTACAAGCAATCAACAGCTCTAGCAAAAAAAGAAGAAAAAAAAGTCTTGCACTGTTAACGTACAGCTCCTCAACAAAGGAAGTATGATAAAGAATAAAAGACTATTGCCAGCTGCAATTGTACATCAAAGGAACTAAAAAAAACCCAATTATTTCAATTTTTTCATGCACTATAAGAAAGACACTGAATGTAAACCACCTTATTGCTTTGTTCTTGGTAGAGGTGAAATAATTCTTCAAATCCCTGAATTTGTGTGGAAACAGCAACTATAAAACATTAGCACTCACCCCAGCCTTGTAATCACAGTGTAATATTTCACAGCTCACCCATACTGTAATGCAACATTTCATGAAAAATTAAATGCTGGCTCAGCATATTTTGCTGCCTTGATAGATGTGGACACACAGCTGCAGGCTGGAAATGATCTGGTTTTGTAATTTTTTTTTAGTATGCTGCTGTTCATTTATGATCAGGGCTGTTACTGGACAGAGCTGTACAGGGCCATGCAACTTCAAGGCTCTAATCATTTGGGGTGGAGGGGGAGCGAGCGATGTGGGCTGTGACAAACACATTCCTGCGCGTGTTTGCAGAGCTCCGGACCAGGCGAACGCGGGGTTTGGCGGTGGAATATCGGCCACCGCCAGCACAACGGGCTCAGCCGCGGCTGCCTAGCTAGCAGGAGGGGCCCGATCCTGCCTTCCTTGGGCACCCGCTGATGGCAGATGGGGCCCGATCCTGCCTTCCTGGGACACCCTCTGAGGGCAGCTCGGGGCGCGCCAGGAGGATTAGATCGGGCCCCGCCGCTGTTGATTTTGCATACCTGGCGGCTGTCCGAGGCACCTCTCGAAAGGGGTGAAAGAAGCTGCAGTTCGGATCCTGGGCTTGTTGCATTAGGACAAGGGGTGTGGGGGAGGTTTGTCCGCGTTGAACCCAGACCGATCCTCCCCCAGGAAACTCAAGGGACTGCAAGAGGACAAGTCCATCAATCCCCCCGACCCCCCATCCCGGGAAGCCTGCAGTCTGGAAATGGCACATGCAATACCCCGAAAGCCGCCCGCCCCAAGGGGGGATCCCCAGCCCCCAATGGAGGCGCGGGGAGAAGGGGGCGGTGTAGGTGCGGCGCAGCTAGCGCCCCGCCGGGTCCCTTACCGCTCAGCCAATGGTCTGCTCCCCGCGGAGCCCGGGCAGCGCAAGGCGGCTTCCCGCTGGTGCCCAGCTCCGCTCTCCCCGAGCGAGCGGCACATCCGCGCCTGGCCCAGCCCCCGCCTGAATTCCTGCACACGCCGCCCGCTCGCGCGCTCTCCTCCCTCCTCCTCCCGACCGGGAGCGGCGGCGGCAAACCCCTCCCCGCCGGCCCACTGCTGCCCCCTGCTTCCCGCGACCACTGAGCTGAGGGGACAAGGGGGGTCTCCCCGCAGCCGGGCGGCTGACGTCCCCTTGCGCAGGGCTGGCCGGGGTGGGAGCTGAGTAGGGTCACCAGAGAGCCACTGTGAAAAATCCGGTTGGGATTAATAGTGGGGTACAGGACCAAGCCCCTAATAGGGGTTGGTCCCCCTGATAGCTGGCGGTCCGGCCACCCTAGGGCTGAGGAGGTGCCTGTGAGTGAGAGCGGTCAGTGGGGCCCCGCCAGCAGAGTTTGTGCGTGACTGAGGCAGCCTGGATTTACCAACCCACAGTCAAAGCCTTGGACTTTCAGGAAAGCCCAGCGGAGGGGCATAAAACGGAAACCTCCCAGTAGCAGGCCCGAGCCACAGACTCTTCTCTCCCACACCTTCCCTTGGCCACTTAGCCACTTGCAAAGCCTGCTTCAGAGGGAGGCTGGCTCGGGGACCCAGGCCTCCCACCTGTTTTTAAAATGTCCAGGACTTTTAAACTCTGGGGAATTTTTGGCTGGGCGGTTGTGGGAGAGCTGCCTGGGTGGCTAATGGGAAGCAAGAGAGGGCAGGAGGTCAGTAGTTAAGCCTGCTAATTGCACAAAGGATCAGAGCAGGCGACTCTCACTTGACAGCAGTTTCAGTTCCCAACAAGGAATGAGGCTCTCTCCCAAGGCCCCTCGTAAATTAAAGGCATTTAGAAATAATAGGGAAACAAGTTAGGTTTGCCAAGGATGGCTCCCTTATGGCAACTCCAGGTTCAGCAGACATCTATCACCATAGCACAGGCCATGATTTTCTGCGTTGCCATAACCATGGGGCAAATTATTATTATTATTTTGGATATGAAACAATCCCATTCGGTTAGATTGCTTAATTTTCCAATATTTTCATGATTTATGTATGCCCTTGTAACCATGGACACATAAGTTCCTGAAAGTGAAAGGATAACACTGTAACCCGAATCATAAAGGGCTAGATCAGGGGTTGGCAAACTATGGCCCGTGGGCCACATCTGGCCCACGAGCCATTTTAAGGCGGCCCGTGAGCTCCCACTGGGGCACTGGGTCAGGGGCCACACCAGCACTCTAGCTGGGACGCCGGGTCAGGGGCCGCACCACGTGGCTCAGCCCCACTCTAGCTGGGACGCCGGGTCAGAGGCCGCACCATGCAGCTCGGCCCTGCTCTGGTGCTCCAGCTGGGGCTCCGGGTCGGGGGTTGCACCACGCAGCTCAGCCCCTCTCCAGCTGGGACGCCAGGTCAGGGGCTGCACCACACGACCCCCGGAAGCTGCGGCATTGCCCCGTTCTGAGGGTCGGGGGCCGCTCAACGCGTAGGAGCCGGAAAAGGGACTTGCCATGGCTTCTGGGAGCCGCTTGAGGTAAGTGCCACTCGGATCCTGCACCCCTTCCCCAGCCCTGATCCCCCTCTCCAAACCCCTCGATCCCAGCACGGAGCACCCTCCTGCACCCCAAACCTCTCATCCCCAGCCCCACCCCAGAGCCCACACCCCCAACCAGAGCCCTCACCCCCTCCTGCACCCCAACCCCAATTTTGTGAGCATTCATGGCTCGCCATACAATTTCTATTCTCTGATGTGGCCCTCAGGCCAAAAAGTTTGCCCACCCCTGGGCTAGATTGTGGTATTTTGAGCTTGAAGAGTGCCTTACTCCTGATTTTTTTAGTGAAACCCCCTGAAGAATAAGGTACTATACTTATAGCGAATAAGGGTGTCACAATCTGGCCCAAAGTTCTTTAAGCTTAAGGCTCTTTTTATAACATGAACCGCAGAAACTGTTTTCATGTCTCAAGTGTGATGTAGCTACTTAGTTGCCAAAAACATTTTGTTCTGAGACATATTAGGCCAAATGAAACCCTTCCGTTGCACGGCACAGAGGGTAGAAAAGCACAGTAAATAGGTTAAGTGAGTCTGGTAAATAAGTACAGAGAATTCTACATGATATAGTACTTTCCCTCCAAGCCAAAGAATCTCCTGTAGGTAAAATGTACTTGGTTTGTTATTATTTATTTTCATACATTTGCATTGCAGCAGTGCCTACAAGCGCCAATAGGATTGGGTCCCATCCTGTTAGGGGCTGTACAAACACGCAGATAGACACCATTTGCCGGCATCCATGGATTCTGCTTCTAGATAGGTAGGTAGTAAAGTGCAGAGGAGCTACGGCAGCTCAGACACTATAGCTCAGAATGAATGAGGATGTTCTGATCTGAACTGCCTAGGGATGTGGGGCTCTAGCACTGTGCACAGATAGGCAAATGCTCCACTGAGATCATGGTGTATCTGTTGTTCTCCTCAGGGTCCACGCCACAACCTGTGTCCCTTCTGAGCTGCTACTAAAGGTAATCAACAATTTTTTAAATGTTTTTCTGATGAATAATGATCCTTTTTTCTAAAACAAACATTTTTGTGAAAAAAATTCCTTTTTACAACATAAATCTCCTGATTTTTTTTGACAACAAATGAAAACCAAAATGTTTTCAGAGTTTTGTTTTGTCTTCTGCCCCTACCATTTTGCAGCAAAGGGATGAAGGGGGAAAGGAAGGGAGAGGCAGGGGAAAGCCAATTCAGGAAACTGAAACAGTTTTGGGTTTCAACAAATGAAAAAAAAATCCACCAGGTTTTCATGGAAAAAAATCTGAAACTTTTTGAGCAAATAAAAATTAAAAAATATTTCCACTTTTCAACCATTTACCACTTTTCAACCAGCTCTAGCTGCTACCAGTTGCAACCCTTCTCCTCCCTCTTAAGCATATACATCATTTTCTTCTGTTAGTATTTCTTTATATTAGTATTCCTCCTTCCACTCACAGTGATTGGCCTAATGATTTGGCCTATCATTATTTGATACAGTTTACATCATGGACATTAAAAAAAATAATTTGAAAATATGGAATGAAGATTGAAAAATACTCTGGCCTATTCAACAGTTATGCAATGAGCAAAATGGGATAAATTACACAAGTCACAGTTACTACATGAATCTTCTTGTGCATATTCTTTGCAAACTCTCAGAAAGAAATGCAAACATTTACAGCAAGCTTTCCATGGATAAATATTTTAAAATACTTTCTAAAAATGTGAGCCAGGAATTCTTAGTCCAAATTTTTGTAAAGACAGGGTTAATGTTGTAATGAGTAAATATCTATTAAATTAAAACATCAGAATGTTATAGATATAAGTTAACAAACACTTGATTTACCCACTCAGAGCCAGAAAACCTCCCACACCTTCATAAACAGTTTGGTTTATAATACCTATTATAGTGTCTATTCCACAATGAATCAAAGCCCCTAATCAGTCTCATCTGCCTTGTACAATAATCTATTGATTGGAAGAGTCCACATATTTGAAAAATTATGGCATGAATTAGGTACTTGGTTATTTTATGTTGCATGATGGGCAGGGATAATGGGTTCGAATTACTTTGCTTTTGGAACCTTAACTATGAATTTTCTGATCTCCGTTCACATTGGTTTCTTTCTTTGATCATAACTTCAAATTTCCATGCTTTTCATTAGTGTTCTACTGATGCCGTTTTAGTTTAACTTACAGTTATTTACATCCTGAACTATACCTTTATGGCGATTTTTGCCTGGGAATTCTGGAAATAATTTTGAAATACAAGAGAATTGTTCATTATGCTTATAAAACAAGGATTATGCTCACCTGCTGGCAGAAGAGAATACATGTGAATCTTGAGTTTGGTACTAGTTTTGTGGGACCCAGTGGGTAACATGTGAGATGAAAGGCTCCAAAGGCTTTACAAATTATATTTGGATGTGGGAGAGTGAAGAGAATGAGAATGTGGGAAAGTGAAACGGGAACCTGCTGTTTAGTTCATGCATAAACTATCCGTTCAGCCAAAGGTCACTCTTTCCCCCCCATTAATTTAAAGGATCACATATGAAGTGCAATTTAAAAATAAAAATACAGTCAATCCTGTTTTAGGTTTGTGGTAGCCATGAAGGAGTGAAATAAAGGCTGAGATGGGATTTAATTCTAAACCTCTATTTCGATTTGCCTCTAACTTTCTAACAGAAAAAGATCTTTGAAGATAATTTTTTATGCATAATCGTAATTGTAAAGTCATTTTTTGGTGAAAGTTACATACAGATCCATTTGGCCACTTTTGATGCACTTTCCAAGAAAAAAAGTTTTACACCTTCTTTGGCAATGTGAGAGTTCAGAGAATGAGGTGTTTGCACTTCTGGAAAATTTTGCTAACTTTTTTATGGCTTGTAATAGCTCAGAACTGTTTAGTCTAGTCTTTACTCCACATTTTATTTTCATCTACTGGTCTTGGTGAGGACTGGAGTCTTTGGGCAGTTTTAGTGGTGAGCTGTTTAGTTATTAAATACAACTGATACAAACATTAAAGATGCTGAAGAGTTAAAAAGGTACAAATGGAACAGATGCTTTGGGAAGGTGTACATAAAAGTTGATGTGAGAAAATTGCCATGTATAGCAACTGACAGAATGGGAAAGTAGAAAGAACAATAAACATTCTGTATGGAGCACCAGCAATGGCTGTTTCAAACCATTCTTCAGGAAACCAGGAACCATTCATACAAAGACTGGCCCAAACATCTGCCAATTGAGGTCTTTGGTTTTTACTTTTTATTTAAAAAAAAAATTACCAACATCTAGGGACTCATCACTAAACTACATATCACAGACTACACAAATTTGTTGACAGTCTTTTGTGTTTTTTAGAAGCACCCTATTAACCTTTTTATTTTGTAGTAAATTTAGAAATTAATATTGATTGGTTCTTTGCCAGGCTGCATATAGAGACTGTGTCTTCTGTAAAAGGAAGACGGTTACTTTGGGTCCAGTTCTCATCTTCCGTACATGTGAAAGCATAAACTTTATGGGGACCCATGTAGGGATATTTCTGTTTCCTCCACGGAATCTGTCATTTATAAAGCTATGTGGTAAGCAGCAATATTTACAAACTCTCTGTTGAAAGATAGAATCAGGAGTCCATGAGTGGAAAAGATAGTCCAGTGGTTAGGGTACTAGCCTAGGACTCCGGACGTCTGCGTTAAGTCCTTGCTTCACTGCAGACTTCCTGAGGGACTTTGGACAAGTTAGTCTCTGTGTGCCTTGGTGCCCTTCTGTAAAATGGGGATAATAGCATTGCCCTGCCTCACAGGGTGTTATACATATTGTGAGATGCTCAGATACTACAGTAATGAGGGATATATTGGTACCTTAAATAGACAGACTCTAAAGCAGCTGTAGTTCTCCAAGTCATGTGGATTCTGAGCTACAGTGGAGCACATAGACAGCCCAGGTAAAGCAGGAAAAACACCTCCCTCTGGGCTGCCTCTTCTGTGTTGTGTCTTTTGAGAGACAGCCTCTGAATCCATTAGTAGCTAGAAGTGCAGAAAAAATGCAAATGTAATGGTCAGTAAAATGCTCCATACTGATAAAAGATCATTCAGGACCATATTCTCCCTGCTCTTGCACAGCTATACAAAGTGAGGATGGAAAGGATAGAGGGGGTGTCTCTTGTGTGCAAGCAGCTGGCTTTTGACTGCTCCCTACTCTTTCAGAACAAGGTGTGGGAAGTGTTAACACTGCCAGCAATGCTTCCTGGCCGAAAACAGGTCTGGGAGTGGATGAGGTTATGATTGTGGCTGGCAATTCCAGGCAACTGGTGCTACAGTAACTTAAAGCTGCTCTTCCAAAATGGAGATATAACCTCCACCATCCTTCATTAGCAGGGATTTAATCCGTGAGTTTGAGCACCAAAAGAGCAGAGCTCTACCATGTGAGCTGAAGGAGTATTTCCATTAGTTGGTTGCAGTAGTAGGTTTTTATCCACAATTTGGACTAGACACTACATAGGGACACAATCTACTTAGCCACTACTTGCAGGCAAGCTTTCCCCAGCACCTTAGGAACACTTTTCCTCTCTCTGCACTACAGGCAAAACACATCTGATCACTGCGAAGGCACATCTCCGTGCTCTAAGGGGGACTCAGCTCTTAATGACTTTCGTGGTACAAGATCAGGGAAATAAGCACAACAGAACCCTCCACCTTCATAATAAACCACTCTTTTCTGGTGTTAGTAGGCTCTGTGAGACTCAGTTGTTTGGCCATAGAGGGACTTGCATGCACTGCTCCCCATTTTGTTTTGCTTGGATTTGTGTACCTCTTGCATCTTACTCTGAGGCTAGGTCTATACTACCTGCCTGAATCGGCGGGTAGAAATCGACCTCTCGGGGATCGATTTATCGCGTCCCATCGGGACGCGACAATCGATCCCCGAATCGGCGCTCTTACTCCACCAGCGGAGGTGGTAGTAAGCGCCGCTGACAGAAAGCCGCAGAAGTCGATTTTGCCGCCATCCTCACAACGGGGTAAGTCGGCTGCGATACGTCGAATTCAGCTACGCTATTCACGTAGCTGAATTTGCATATCTTAAATCGACTCCCCCCTGTAGTGTAGATGTACCCTTAGTGTTGTGGTCAAATGAAGATCTGAACAAAATTCATCCAAAAACTTCTTGGCTTTTAACATCATTTCACCTTTAAACTATGCAAATCCACCAAAACTATTTCTGACTAACATCATCCCACAACCCAGGTAGGCTTTGGTATTTGCAAGCTTTTGAGTGAACTTGACCTGAGTTTCAGAATTGGTTATGAAAGTTTTCTGCACCTCTGTTAAAATCTCTAATTTATTCATCATTACATTCTTGGATATTTTTTCAAGTCTTGTTCCTCTTTTTCCTCTAAAGTGAATTTAGTGTTGGTGCCCAAATAGCTCCATTGGAAGATGGACTGAAACCAAAACATCAGATCAAGGGAAGTTCAAAAACAGATTTGGATGCAAACTTTGTGGTTTGGGCTGATCTCTTATGGAAACTATCTAAAAAGTTCCTTATGTATCCATTGAGCGGGTACCAGAAAGGGAGCAAAAATACTTCCACACACTGTTTTGTCCATGTATCTTATACCTGTTCTGGTAGGAATGCTTTAGCAACAAAGTGGTGCTTCAGGCTTTCCATTGTCATTTTTTCTGAAACTGCTAACAAAGCTGGCATTTACAAAAGTGGTTTCTGTGTTTACATTGGCTGGCAATCAGTTGAGAGATGGCAATTTACTTTACAGTAACCTGCAATGGAGTCAAACTAGGGATCTTGAGGTGAAAGATACCATATTGATTCCTAATCACCTGAGCCATCCAGTCTCCTTTGAATATTGATTCTGATCACTAAGTGGTCTATTTTCATTTTGAATTTGTGCATATGTGAGTTTAACTTTCATTAACTTTAGTGGGAATTAAACTTATGTAGCAAGGAAAGGTCTGAATCAGGGACTGCACTCAAGAGCTATGT